AGAGAGGACGCGGTGGAGATCCCAGATCCGGTCGCGGCGGGAGTAGGGGATGCCGGAGGAGGTAGATCGGGGCGGCGCCGCCGGCGCGGGCGCGCTCACCCGTCCTGCGCGAGGACGCGAGAGCAGACCCTCATCCTCTTTCGCTCTACTATGACTGACCGAGGTGGGGCAGCAGGCGGCGAGGTCGGAGCGGCCGCCGGCGGGAGGCACACGAGCTCAACTGCATCGGCCAGCGAGGTGGAGAAGCTTGAAGGGGGGCGATGCTCTTCCTTATGGTGTACAGTAGTGTTTTTCAACGGCTAGTCTTGTCCGAAACGAAATGAAATGAAGAAACATGCATACTCCCCTTGGGCAAAAGTTTTTCCCCAAGTACTAGTGCTATCTCTTGGAAATTCTATAGTGTGATGATCCTGAGAGCTGCTCTTCTGGGTTGAAGTCGACCACATCCCAAATTTATATACTCCTATATGCATCAAAGAAGAAACTATGTACAACAACCAGAGAGCCAGTACATAATAATTCCTTTTTTTGGAATTTTTGAGCTACATAATACGATGTCCTCCGTAGTGTAGATGCCCCTTCATTTGTTTTGGCGCATAAAATATGACGCCCATTTGTTTGTTCTATTTAGGCTTCTCGTGTCCGGACTTCAGGTTCAAGCCACCGTTTGAGAATAGAGTAGTACTAATTGCATAAATATTTGGGTCACATCATCGCTTATTAACCTATAGCTGCATATGCATATTAAAAATTGTTTGGTAGTAGTTCAGAAGTGAAGACATGTCCCGCTCTAGTCCAAAACCAAACACATACTCTACCAGACAGCCCGACCAAATTAGTAACTAAAATAATGAAAGCTTACGCACCCGCCAAACCCTCCACTAAGTAAAGTAACATGGCCGCCGTTAATCTATACATAGCGTCCAGCTCTATTTCTGACCAAAAAGGGATTAAACACCAACAAGAAAAGAACAAATAGGAGGAAACCGGCGGCAGCAACAAAATGCTTTTCTTTTCTTTTCTTTTCCGTCCAGCGGGAGTATGGTTGTGTAGTCTCTAGTGTATTCCTCCCTGCTTCTCCTTCTGCTTCTGCTTTAGCTTTTGTTCCTTTTCTTGGTCGTAACGTGTCGAAATAAAGCTGAACAAAACAGCGGCACTGCGCGCACATGCATGCAGCATTCGTGTGGAAGTGGAACAGAGGCGAATGTGGATAGGCTTGAGATTAGGCTACCGCCTACCGATCACCTGCGCCTGCGTGCGTGATCCAACGGGAAGCTGGCATAGCTCTTTTGGACTGCATCTTCATGCTGCAGCGGTCGGTGGTCAAAACAAGGGCCATATCATTAGAGCATTACTAGAATCCTCAAACCCTTAAACCTTTATAGCAGTTTTAAAGGTTGAGAAGTGTCACTTTTTGACATTTTTAAGGATTGAAAAACAAAGACAAAGACTAGTACCCTCAAACCCAACCCTTAAAGGATTCTAGTCTTTGCCTCAACCCAACCTTTAAAACTGTCATTTCATATATCACACATTTCATCACATTTCATCATATGACATATCACAAATTCCATCACATTTGACATAAAACAATAATCATTCTAGTTATTA